AATAATTGAGAAGACAAAATCGTGCAAAAACATTTATTTCCCTTTCGAATTTCGAACACCACCAATCAGAGTGTACTAACGAACGCGCAAGTCTCCGTGATCAATTGTGCTTTCTTGGTTTTTAATTCTGAAATTCTCACTTGAATTTTTTCGTTTCATTCCAAAGGAATCATTTCATTTTATCTTTCGAACTTCTCATTCAGCCGCAGAATTCATTTTATTGCATCAAACTTTTCATTGCGTTCTTTTACATCGATAATGATGTCATGCTTCATTGTCAGCCAGTGCTTTACAATCTTACGGCGATGTCTATAACTTTTGATCAGTTGATATGAAAGTTTGTTTTGTTGAAATTGAAAAAATATTTTGAGAAAATCAGGTTTCCCAAATACTTTCAATGAATAAAGAATGTGAGCGATGAGAACTGAAAAATATTTGTGTTCTGATGAGAAGAGGACAATTCGAAAAACACTGATGAGAATTTTTGAGAATTTGTCAAAATAATGATTTCAGTTTCTTTGAGGAAATCGAAAGGGAAGGAAGTGCATAACTTGAGAAATGAGTGAAAATTCACAGAGATAAAGACGAGTCTTGAGACTGGAATTCACATCAGTCAAAAAATAATTGTGGTGAATAGAAAAGTTTCTATTGATAATTTGCAGAGTTCAGTGAGTTCGTTCGAATTGTATCCTCTAACGAACAACGAAAAAATCCTTCGCTGAAAATTTTGTGAAGCTTTTAGATTTGCAAATAGGCAGAAAAATAAACAAACAAACGACGACACATACTGCGGTACTATTATATTTGTGAATTCCTAAAAATTCAGCAGCAGCAGCAGTTAACTCTGACAGAAAGTTTAGAATCTCATTCGTATTCGAAACCAGAATGGCGCTGAGTACAAATTTTTTTGCGAGTTCCGATCTAGATTTGCTTGCCTCTGCTGTCGAATCGCCGCTGTGCTCTCGAATCCAAGCACTCATACATTGCCATCCACTTGAGAGATTAGTTTGGTTTTTGCGCGTCTCCTTCTCTTCCCCATACGATTTTTCGCAATCATTATTTTTCGCAGTCTTTTGAATTCACTGTGAATTGGATTATAAGTCTTAATATTTTGAAGTTTGCAATTGCATTGTTGCACAATATCGGAGTATTCATTCGCGCTTCCTTTCGAAGACTTCCGAATGAATTCCACTGATTAATTGTGCATTCATTTCTGATATTTTCTATCGGCCATAATGCTTTGCTGCGTCGTCGCGATTCATAATGCAAGTGCAAGAAGAAACGGCATGAATTAAGAAAGAATCCAAAAAACCGAAACAAATTACGCTTTCCGTTGAGCAATGAATTGATTCACAATGCTATTTGAAAAGAATTTCTGCAAGTTGAACAAGTTTGGGTGAATGATATGGATGGAAAGAAAGAAAATCAGTTTAAAATTAAACATTTCAAGCGATTGATCTGTCTAGATTAATTGAAATATTTAAACAAGAACTGAAGAGTAGCCTAGAAATTGAGCTTAAAGCCTCAGTTTTGACTAGATGATAGATTGATTCCGAAATGAAAAAGGGACAGCGAGCGATTGAGACATCCATCCATCCATCGGCTGAGAGTTGTGATCATTTTTTACGAAGAATAATGAGATATGTGAACAAACGAGAGAGATTATAATTATAAGGTATGAGCTGGAGTCACTGAAGTAAAAATAAA